ACAGTGTATTAGTTTTCTATTTATTTTCTCTCAAAACACCCTGTCATTTTGGAGAGAAAATTTGGCTTTTTGGCTGTCACAACAGAAAGATAATCCCACATAGCAAACAAAGTTCTAACTTTAGCATTGCTTTATGTCTAGCAATAAGAGCCAGCAATTTCAAAGAATCCCAGGCAGCAAATATGAAGCAGGAACAAACAGAGCTTTGGTCCGCTGGCACTACCACACATGCGTGCACTAAAAACTCAGATGGGCTGAGTTTCTCTTCTGGCATCACGGTTTCTCTCATGTTTACCCAGGGCTCTAACTATTGCTGGTGTCAAGAAGATACTGTTGACTATGCCCTCAAAATATGCCTTATGTCTCCCCATTTTACTACTCAGCGTCATAACTCAAGCCAAAAGTTAGAGGAATCTTCCTTGTCTTTCCTTCACATACCCTATCAAACCTGTCACCAAATCATGTGCCTCTTAACTCCAAAATATATTCTGAACCCACTGTTTACTATTCTAGTTGAAATCATCATCTTCCCTTACACTTGAGCTACCCCCAAAGCCTCTGAGATGCCTTTACTCTGGCCTCCGACACATACTTATCCTCCACAAACTTCAAACTGTGAATCGGATCACATGTCTTCTTCCCTAGGCAGCAGGGAGTATTAAAACCAGCTCCTTTAATATTGTGCACAGGTTCTCCATCCTCACCTGCTGCTGCTCCTGGTGCAGAATTTCCACTCCGTCCATATATCCCAGCATACACCCTTCATCAGGCCCTTCTGGCTTCTTGGTCTCTGCTCATTCAGTCTCCTCTATTTCAAATGCCTTTACAGTCCCTTCATGGTTCTTTTCAACTTAGTCTTCAAAGCTTAGAGAATCTCCACCTCCAGGAGGCTAACCCTGACACTCTGTGTACCATGCTTTTCTATTTTAGAAAAATGTTTTGCAGATCATTTCATAAGAGTATATCAGTATGTAAATATTGCTACATTATTTTCATTGACTTCTAATGCAGAGATACCATTATTAGTCAATCAGCCCCTTGGGAGGGACAAATAGGTTACTTCAGACATTAATGCAGTGGATACATCATTTTCTATATTTGTGAAGAAGAGCTATAAGATAAATTTCTATAAATATTATATGTAGTTGGACCAGAGGATGTGTCTCTTGAATTTTAGCACACACTGTAATGTGGCACCAGTTTACATTCCCACTAACAGTGCATTAAATCCCTGTTTGCTTCCTTTACCAACCCTCTGTACTGATATTAAGCAAACTGAAAAGTGGTATTTATCATCTTAACTTGCAATTCTTTTTCTATCATATGGATGTAGGTATCTTTCCTTGTGTTTAGAACCATTTGTATTTTATTTTCTAAAAAATACTTGTTGGGGACTATTGGCTTTTCTTCTCTTGGACTATTGATCTTAGATTATCTAGAGGAATTATGATGCTATAGGGACCTACATAATAATTCTAGAAGTTCAACTTTACCTGCTTATTTAAAGAAAAGATATAACCCCCCCGCCACACACACACACACACACACACACACACACACACACAATGTTTTTAAAGATAGTTCCCCAAGATAACTATGCTTGAGTTTTCTATGGCTCATGGTAAAAAAATCAACATAGCTTGAATACACATTTTTTACTGAGGTACAATAAACTAAATCATAAACAGCTGTTGTATGTTCATAAAGAAGATGAAACTAGGACACACTGCAAAATCAAATACTGCCAATATTACTGGATTTAACCATAAATTTCCAGTAAGGACTTCCAATAACTTTAAAGAGCTGAATAAAGCAGCTGAAAGAACAGAAGGAATTATAGTAACAAGATCCTGAATGGGAGGAGCACTGTTAGGACAAGGAGAAAACTGCTCATTCATTCCACATCAAAATTCTGTTGAGTGTCCTCAGGCCCTAAGAAGTAAAGGAGACATAAAAAATCTAGCAGCAGGAGACACACAATAAGCAAATGAGGAAATAAAAAGTGATAAACTGTAATATGTGTGATTGTGAAAAAAAAAAAAAAAGGAGAATAAATGGTGTAGAAGAGGGTAGTTTCCAACATTAGCTATGTGACCCAGGGCCTCTTTAGAAGGTAACAGCTGAGTAAATGTCTAGAAGTTATAACAGCAACCCATGCAGGCAGGTGGAGGTGGTAGGACAAAGCATCCCAGCACAAGGAGCAGCAAAAACCCGGGCCCCGAAGTAAGAGTAGAGAGTGGCATGGAATTTGAGGACCAGGGTGGAGTCCAGGGTGACCAAAATGGAACTGGGGAAGCTGAGAGGAACAGATGAGATTCCAGAGGTCAGGAGGGGCTTTGACTCTGCATGAGGTGGAGCGTGAAGCCAAAAACCAGTATGATGGCTTACATATTCATAGCTTTGCTCCTCTAGTCATCTTGAGTAGAAACAGGCGGAGGGGAAGGAAAGAGGCAGAGCGAAAATTTAAGGGACTGTTGCAATAATCCCCCCAAAAAAGTGATTACCTGGAAAGGATCATGGCCTAGAAGTAAAAAGAAATGCTGGACTTTGTATGGATTTGGAAGTGGAGCTGTGAGGAGGTTCCCATGGGTAGGAAGAGATGAAATCACCAGGTGGTGAGGTGAGTAGAAAAGAGGTCTAGGACGGAGCCTGGCAGCAGTTCAGTACTGAGAAGCCAGGGAAGGTCTGAGGAGGAGCACAGGGGAAACAGGGAAGCAAACCAGGAGCAAGCACTGCACAAGGAAACACGGCTCTCTCACAAATGCGCACTGGAGAAGCAATGTGGACAACGCGGAGTGAGAGGTGGGGGGTGCGGGCCAAAGCCTGAATGAAATGGGCTCAGGAAAGGATGGAAGGGACAATTTGGACACAGTGGTTCAACAACTCCCCAAGGCATGTTGTTATAAGTATAGAAGAAGACTATACCAAGAGGAAGAGGACATATGGTCAAGAAAAAATTTTAAAATAATTTTTAAATGATAGAAAAATGATGCATGACTAGGATGATGGGGAATTTCAGAGAAGAGAATTAATAGAGCTGTATTTCTTGAGTAAGCTACACAAAATGACAGTTGGTCATTACAGTATTAACCACAATATTCTAGCTATGCCAACAGAAGAACGGATGAATTAATTGCATAAACTAATATAATGGAAACCTATATAGCAATGAAAATGAATATATAGCAACATGCAACAAAATTGATGAATCTCACAAGCATAATATTAAGAGAAAGTAGTCCAATGAAAGAGAATGCACACTGTATGACTACCATATGATTCTATCAATATAAAGTTCTCAAACATTCAAAGGACTCTACTGCATCAGAAGTTAAAATCATGGTCACCTGGAGGAGCAGGGGGAGAGAGGAAATGGAAGGGGATAGGGTGGTCGCAGGTACAAACTGCAGTCTACTTTTTTTTTTTTAATATATTTTATTGATTTTTTACAGAGAGGAAGGGAGAGAGATAGAGAGTTAGAAACATCGATGAGAGAGAAACATCGACCAGCTGCTTCCTGCACATCTCCCACTGGGGATGTGCCCGCAACCCAGGTACATGCCCTTGACCTGAATCGAACCTGGGACCTTTCAGTCCGCAGGCCGACGCTCTATCCACTGAGCCAAACCGGTTTCGGCTGCAGTCTACTTCTTGACTGGATAGGAATTACTATTCCCTCTGTGATTATTCATTGAAATGTATATTTATGCTCTGTGTAAGGTCCTGCATATATCTTATAATGTTCAATAAAAATTAAAATAATAAAATAAAGCAAGTTATCCTGATATCTTCAGCCTTAATGGAAGAATTTAACTAGAGCCGCATGATCACTTGCTACAGACACAGTAAAAAGATAAAAGAAACTTTAAAAATTGCTGATAAAGTTAATAGTTTTTTAAACGAGGCTGCTGAATCTCTCCCTCAAAGCAGCAATATTTTCTTCTTCTTTTTTTTAAATGTTTTATTGATTTTCTACAGAGAGGAAGGGAGAGGGATAGAAAGTTAGAAACATTGATGAGAGAGAAACACTGATCAGCCGCCTCCTGCACACTCCCCACTGGGGATGTGCCCGCAACCAAGGCACATGCCTGCCGGAAGCCGGTCCATCCTTGCTGCTTGACACAGTCGCTGCAGGAAAGAAACATCTGCACAGCATATGTTTCAATGGACCTGGCGTATATAGCATACTGTTCTTAATATGTTTGCTCCCTTTAGCGCCATGTGTTTTAACCAAGGTCACCTCTCCGAGAAAGGTTGTTTCCCCAGGTGGGGATTTTTCCCTGAGGTTAGGGAGGGGATACAACCCCTTAATTAAGTGCCAGGCGGGTAGTTAAGCTACATAATCTTTACTCCCTGGAATGGAGATAAGAAACGCCCTAACCTTTGTAATAGAAATTGACAGGATTAAAATCGGCTGGTATAAATACGGATGTAACAAGACAATAAACATCAGATCCTGATCAGTTCCTAACCAGAACTCCGACCAGAACTTTGGCTGGAGATCCTGGCTAGAGGTCCTGACTAGGCTGCTGATCAACTGAAAGCTGTCTTCGTGTCATTCCTTCTTCACCGACTCCGTCCACACCTTTGGGGACCCCTGGACCCGCTGGGATTGGACCCCAGCACATGCCCTTGACCGGAATTGAACCCGTGACCCTTGAGTCCGCAGGCCGACACTCTATCCACTGAGCCAAACCAGTTCTGGCAATATTTTCTTCTTTTTGTGGTAAAAATTAATATTCCATGCAGAAGAGAGCAAAAATGATATCCTAAAAATAATTTTTCTAACCCATGAGTGACCATCTATGCTCTTTAGATTAAACCCTACAAACAAGCCATCAGAGACAAATCAGTGCTTCTGTTCCATAAAATTCTGGCTCCTTCCCCTGGCATGTCTCTATAATAAAGCGACAAAAATGTTCCTGACAACATTTTTGAGACAAATGCCTTAGGGACAAACTCACAGTTGGTGGCTCCTGGAGTCAGGTCCCCGCACTCACCAGGGAGGGTAGATGTGGATGATGTCTTGGGGCTGCCCCCTGAGATGGTGTGCAGTCTCCTTGGTGAAGAGAACCTTCAGGCCAGGCCCAGGGGCTTCAGCTTGAGAAGAGCCGCCAGCCTGCAGTCCCACTAACTGCTCACACATGGCGACGTGGATGGTGCATTCTTCATGCAGCTCTAGAATTTTCACAGTTAATACACCAGATCTGCTACCTGGAAGGGAAAGAAAAAACAAAAGGAAAAATAAAGTCTAAAAGACATGGCTCAAGTATGAATAAAGGGACATGAACAAAAGAATCATGCTCGGATAGTTTCCTTCCCCTGGAAAAAAATGGTCTGTACACTTTGCAGAATAAAAACAGACTCTAACATGCTTCTCTGTTTTTAAAGTCCAAAACAGCCTGCATACTTACCTGGCAGGGGAGATACCATGATCACAAAACAGCCTGCGTGTTGCGTTAAAGAAATACAAAGTGTAGACTTCTATCATAAAGAAACAGTCTTGTGTGTATGGAAAACACAGACCCACTATTTCATATATCAAAGGAAGTATGGGCACCTAAGTGACCCTTCTTTCTTATATACTTCCTCCACCTTATTACCTGCTTTGATTTTCTACTTTCAAATGATGCAGTATGACTGGTTGGCTGCAACTGTTCTAATGATCATAAAGGTTAAAAGTGGCAAATGCATGTGGGTTGCTAGGTGTTAGGGGTCTGGATTTAATGGGGGTAAAATTCTATTTGGATTCAAGTACTAGGTGTAGTATCCAGCTAGACAAGTTAGATAGCATTTCAGCACCTCAGTTTTCTCATGTGTAAAATGGGAATCATGCCAATAGCCTCAATTAATATTTTTAAAGATTAAATGAGATAAATGAAGTTGACAGTCCTATAACTCAGAAATCCTGGATATATATTCTGAAACTCTTGTCATATGCACTAGGAGACCTAAACAAGGAAGCACATCTCAGAGGTGTTTGTAAGAGCAGAAAACTGGACTCAGCACTTACCAACAGGAGGATGGGTAAAAACTGTTGTGTGTTCATACAATAGAAACTACACAGAAGTTAATGTAAGTGAGCCAGAGCTATATGTGTCAGCATAGAGAGATATAAAAAAGAAGATGGGGTACACAAGATTGTAGAGTATGACATGATGTTATTTTTTTAAAACACAGAAACCCATACAAGGTGGGGCAATCGTAGGTTTACAGTTGGGAGTACATGAAACACAGAATTTATTCTAATATTATTATTTATTAATTTTTGTATTGTTTTCCATACAAATAACTGTAACCTACTTTTGCCCTAACCTGTATAGTTATGAATACATATGTAATAAAAGTACATAAATATGGATTAGTAGGATACATAGAAAATTCATAACAATTCATTCTAAAGAGAGAAAAAGAGGAATATGATTAGGGAAGGAAACTCAGAAGATTTCCAACTTATCTGTCATACTGTTTCTGTTATAAAATGTTTAAATCAAAAATAAGACAATATTAAAACGTGTTATGAATTCTTTGTGGTAAATACACTTACGTTTTTCTATTACTCTGTTTTTTAATTTAAAGAAATGAATTAGAGATCCAAAATGGCAATGGAAGAGGTGAAAGCTACACTTGCCTCCTCCCCAGGACCAAACAGGAATTACAACTAAATTACAGAACACTCATTCTGAATAACCAACTGAAGACTAGCTGAGCAAAAGTCTTATAACAAAGGGTTTACAGAAGAAGCCCCATCGAGACTGTTCCAAACAAGTTGCCAGCATCTTACATTGGCCTCCACCACAGTCCCACCCAGGCAGCCGAGAACCAACACACCCAGTGGCAAGACTCAGACATCAGAGCAGGATCCAATAAGCTTCACAAGCAGCATATCCAAAGGGAGATCTCAGTAGGCAACAAACCCTACTGAGGTGAACTCCGCTTTGTGGGGTCAACACCTGCATAGCAGTTTGCATGCAGTGGTCAGGGTGCAGCCTCACGGTCAGTCAACCTGAGGGTCGATACCACGCACAATTACCCAATAGCACTCAAGACTCAATTACAACAGGGGGCCCACATAACCCACACAAGGGACACTTCCGGAGCACCCAGCTCAGGTGACTAAGGAGACCACAAACGGAACCCTACTCAGTAAGGAAATCCCACAAAGACTTGGAGTCATAGCAGATCCATCAGATACATAGAAATAAACACAAAGAGGCAGCCAAAATGGGGAGAAAAGTGAAACAAGCTACAAATGAAAGAATAAGAGAAATATCCAGAAAGAGTTAAATGAAATGAAGCCAAGGAATTTATCAGACATATCGTTCAAAGTAATGATTACAAGGATGTTTAACTCAGCAGCAAGAAAAAAGACAAAGAAACCCTAAAAAAGGAGAGTCAGAAATAAATAATACATATCTAAAATGAAGAACACACTAGAAGGGATAAACACTTGGTAGAATAAAGCAGAGGATCAAATCAATGATATGGAAGACAAGGGATAAAAAAACAACTAAACATAGCAAAAAATATATATTTTTTAATGACGATAGTTTAACTTTGGCACAACATGAAGTGCAAAAACATCTGCATCATAGGGATACCAGAAAAAGGAGAGCAAGGGATCAAAAACCTATTTGAGAAAATAATGACAGAAAACTTGACTAATCTAGTGACGAAAAAAAGACACAGAAGTCCAGGAATCACAGAGTCCCAAACACAATGGAACCAAACGGGCCCACAACAAGATACATCATAATTAAAATGGCAAATATTAAGGACAGTTAGTTACCTACAAGGCAGCTCCCATAAGTCTGTCAGTTGATTTCTTAACAGGAACATTTTAGGCCAGAAGGGGTTGGCATGAAATATTTAAAGTGATGAAAAGGAAGAACCTTCAACCAAAACTACTTTACCAAGCAAGACTATCATTTAAAAGTGAAGGAGAAATAAAGAGCTTCCCAGAAAAGAAAAGATAAAGGAGTTTGTTACCAACAAACCATTACAAGAAATGTTAAAGGGCTGCTTTAAGAAGTAGAAGAAGCCCTAACTGCTTTTTTTTTAAAAATATATTTTATTGATTTTTTACAGAGAGGAAGGGAGAGGGATAGAGAGTTAGAAACATCGATGAGAGAGAAACATCGACCAGCTGCCTCCTGCACACCTCCTACTGGGGATGTGCCCGCAACCAAGGTACATGCCCTTGACCGGAATCGAACCTGGGACCCTTGAGTCCACAGGCTGACGCTCTATCCACTGAGCCAAACCGGTTTGGCCCTAACTGCTTTTGCTCAGTGTTTAGAGCACAGCCCCACAAACTGAAGGGTCATGGGTTCAATTTTGGTCATGGGGACATACTTCTGTTGCAGGCTCAATCCTGGCTCCAGGTTGGGGAGTGGGATCAGGCCTAAACCGGCAGCCAGACATCCCCTGAGGGGTCCCAGATTGGAGAGGGTGCAGGACGGGCTGAGGGACCACCCTCTCTCATGCATGAATTTCGCGCACCGGGCCTCTAGTCTTAAGATAAAGAAGGAAATGGAATGGGGGAAGAATATGAAGCCGCACAATGTTACACTGAGGGGGAGAAGAGTGGGGCTAAAAACAAGTATTAAAGAAAGGCCATGACTAGGTGCTGAATATTGAATGTGCTCTCCCACAACAGGTGTTTCTTTAAGGAAAAGTAGCTCCTCTTCAATTGGTGACTAGGAAAAGAAGTCAGGACAGCATGAGGTCACTTTGGTACATACACCATTTATCCTGACAAGGCAGCCAGAGCCGTGGTGGAAAATTAGGGTCTTCAGCAGCAAATGGAAAAAGCCCTAGGTTTGTGCACTGCATTAGCCACAGGAGAATTTTTGGACATATTTTAAGAATTTTTAAAACTTGTATCTGTACTCAGGCCTCATCCTCAGCAGTGTGTACCAGGCTCGCCGCCTCACCAATCAACCACTGGCAGCAGCTGCTGTCCAGAGCTTCAGGGCTACGTGCTGTCCTGCTCAAGACCAAGTGCTGCAGCTGAGCACATGCTCTTGGTATGTGCAGCTACACTCCTGGCTGTGGCAGCCTCCAGCGATGCTCAGCTGCCTGCCTAAGCAGCACAAATTCTCTCTTCAGGTTCTATTTATTGCTTTTTGCGGATCTGATGAAAAAGTGATACAGGTTTTCAGTGGTCTTCCCCAACCCTACAATTCCCATAGACCCTGACAGATTTTATTAGAGGCAAGATACTGCAGAAACACATAAGTAGTGTTATAGAAGAAAAACCTATATTATTAAGATGAATCATAGTGCTACTGACTAGAGTTTTTTTTGAAGATTTTTATTATAAATCCTGACAATAGTGCAATAACTATAAATTCTGTTCAAGGTCTGTAGCACCAAATAACTTGTAGAATAAACACACTTGATGATACTGAGCATCACTAAACTGCAGCATGCCTGGTGACTAAACAGGTTTCGGAATGAATGATGAGCAGCACCACAACCTCACCAGAGGGCTCGGAACAGCACTAGGCTCTCCACCAAGCACTCCAAAGTCTCTCCTGCAGCTCCTCAGACCCAGCCTTAAGGAGGAAGCAGTGGCCTGCCTTTCCGAAGAAAATAATGTCCCCTTTGTGGGAGGAAAAAGCATGAGGCAACCGAGGACAAATCACACATTTAAGGCAAGCTTTCGATCTGAGCACAAGATACTGGCTTTACAATTAGACTGTTTTGCAATTAGATGCAGGCCATTTGTGTGCCAGTGGGACAGCATTTTCCATAAATGCTGTACAACAGCCAAAATGTCACCTCTCTAGGAAGTGTTTCCTGAACCAGCCAGAAGCAACTATTCTTCCTCAAATACCTTATAATTTTAAAGAAATTTACTTTTCAATTAGTGTATATTCAATATTATTTTGTACTAGAGGCCCGATGCATGAAAATTCGTGCAAGAGTAGGCCTTCCTTCCCCCCAGCTGTCGGCACCGGCTTTCCTCAGCCACCCGGGACCTGGGCGGCTTCCCTCCGGCCCTGGGTTCATCCAGAAGGATGTCTGGTCTAATTAGCATATTACCCTTTTGTTATTATAGACTAGAGGCCCAATGCACGAAATTCGTGCAAGGGTAGGCCCTTGCAGCCCCAGCTGCCTCAATCCTCGTGGCCCTGGCTGCTGTGACCCTCATGCATGACCCCAGCTGCCTCGGCCCTCACAGCCCCGGCTGCCTCGCGGCCCTGCCGCCCCACCCCCCGCCCACTGGTCATTCTGGAAGGTTGT